ATACATACATACATACATACATACATACATACATACATACATACATATACACACACACACACACACACACATACATACATACATACACACACACACACACATACACAGACAGAACAATGATTGTATTGCACAGATGTTTAGTGTTGTCTACTGGGAGCTTGCTACTTGGTAATTGTAATTGAATTACTGTGTGTGTTTGTATGTTCTACCTCAAAGTTTCCCAGCAGACTGAGACCGACAGGTGGAGCGTTGGCACTGAACAGCTGCTGTGAGTCCTCGGTGTACCCCTCTCTCTTTGGACACACCCTGAAGGTTTAAAACACACACACACACACACACTCCTGTTCAACTTGTTTTCATGGCGAGATGCGTGCAAGAGCATCTTAAGGTGTTTAAGGTGACAAGCATTCCTGGTGTGTCTGAATAGACCTGCGTCCAGGGTGAGATATAAATGATCTCAGACTGAATTTAATGTTTGTTACTCTGATGTCTTAATTTACTGAAGGAAAGGGCAGAACAAAGTAATTGGTCCATAGCTCACTCAAATCTTTTGTTATATATATTTTTTTAATCAAGCAAATTTACTAGAATAAAAAAAAAAAAAAGAAAGAATATATGGAGAACACGACAATGGCTTTTACCCGCCTCAGCCAAACTGACAAGAAGTTGCCCGGTTGCTAAAATGAACTTTACAGAAGCACTGCGTTACCACCCACATCTGCTGTGTGTAGGCAGCTCCGTGTATATGAAGCCAGCTCAGTTCTGTCTGCCATTTTGAGCAGAATGTGTGCGATTCTAGATGCAGCCACAGTACAGCAGAGCTTCAGCAGGTGGCAGCGTGTCAGCAGAACAGGGCTGACCTAACCTCAGCACTCAGGACAACACAAAGACAATACTTCTCAAACCTGCTGCTGATTCAAGGCTACGTCAGCGTGTTTGGTTTAAACAAACCTCCTCTCTTATATAGATCCCTTATACACTGGTCCTACGATTTAATACTGGTGGTAAGCAAAAAAAACTTTAACAATAAAATGTATTCAACTTAAAAAACAATAAAAAAAAGTGCCTTGCTGGCACTTACACATAGTAACAGCTGAAATGTTGCGTAGTGAGAAAAACAAGTTTTAAAATGATGCGAAGTATGAGTAACTTGTTCCAGATGGTACTATAATAAACAGATGACGTGTGAGGTAACTGGAAAACAAAAATGTTGTCTTTTAACTGTTACTAAGACTGCATTAAACCCGTGAAAGTATCCCAGCCTTATCCTCGTGGACAAACTGATTTGGAGTCTGTTAGCTATAGTAACAAAAAGGTCCCAGGTGAGAAAATGTGTACCTCTTCCCATAGGCCCAAGGCAAACCCTTACAGCCAGCCAGAGAGATGTCCAGATCAAAGTAGCCCGTTTGGTTTTTCCTCTGAGGAACCTGCAGCACACAAACAACATGATTAACACAGAGCAACTTTCACAGTATCTAGGTCAGAGCTTGGACTATAAGATATACTGTATATTGAAAATCTAGGGCTTGTCTTGGCTTTTGTAAAAGACTCAAACGGCATCATAAAGAATAACCGATTGCAAAGTATTAAAGGTATGACAAAAATGTGTGCAATATGATGTCATGGTGTGTATGTGAAAATAAGTGAGCTTGTGTGTTGGCGAGACCGTGTGACACCGAGTGTCTGTGTGTAAATTCTAGTGTTTATATGCATGAGTGAGACAGATCAGAAGGCAGGAGACTGCGATGATGTAGGAGTGTGTTAATCTGACAAGTTTACTGAGGTTGATGAGGCACAGATGAGTCACGTGCCCCACCTGCCTATGTGAGTGTGTGTGTGTGTACATTAACCTTGGCTTACAACTCAGTGGACCAGCAGCAGCAACAGCAGCAGCAATAAAAGCAGCTGCCAGATACTTCAAAGTCTCTTTACAACGAGCATTCACAGGCTCTGGTGAAAGTACTGTGAGTAATGCTTCAGATGGCTTGAAATAAAGGGCAGTGAGTGTGGTGTTATGGCAAACTCAACTGCCCGGACACCGACAATGACTGAGTCAGTAAGTGTTTGTGACTTGGAGCATGCATGTTAGCGGTATCTTAACAAAAGCACAATGACTGTGTTTCACTGTGAAGACGTGCGTGTGTGTGTGTGTGTGTATGTGTTTCTTACAGGGCTGGAGAGCAGAGGCAGGCCAGTACAGGGGTGAAAGGCTTTGGTCGCTGTAGCATCCAAAGAGTGGCAATTCTGTTTCTTCCAGCTGTTGCAGGGGCGAAGCGGAGACGGGCTGTGGGCTCGCTGGGGAACAGAGATGGAGAGACACGTTGGGACAGTTTGCAAGTAAACTGAAACGATCTGTATCCATCTAAGCACGTTCCCGTATATCAGATGCCGTCTTGATTACCACTGAAGTCTCATCCGCTCCCAGCAAAACACTCAGAACTGAGCGGCGTCTATAAACGAGGAGGTTCCTTCTAGTTTGACGAGCTAAATTGGAAAAATGTGATGCCTGTAGTGACCTATTATTTCTGAAATTAAGTAACTGTACTTTAGTGGATAATTTCGGCCTCACAATATTTAATTTTCTGGAATGAGTCACGTGTTTAATTAAATATAGAAATTCCAAGAATCATAGTTAAATGTATATACCTGTTTTAGATTACTACTAAGAAGAATAGTTTAACATTTTTGGAAATACACTTATTCGCTTTCTTGCTGAGAGTTAAATGTTTAATATCACAATAAATATGAGGCTAGCGCCAGCAGCCAGTTAGCTTAGCTTAGCACAAACAGTCAGACTAGCCGTTTCCCCGTTTACAGTCTTTGTGCTACGCTAACCGGCTGCTGGATGTACCTTCATAATTTCTGTTCAGACATGAAACTGGTATCGATGTTCTCTTCCAACTCTCAGCAATAAAGTGAATAAACTTGCCAAAATGTTGAGCAATTCCTATTTTTGTGATGCAGTTCAACCAAGGCTCCTTTAAACAGGGATAGGGCACGACAAAGAATAATTGCAGATTAGTAAATGGGCTATGACTCAGGCGTATAAGTGAGGAGTCCCTTACCAGGACAGTAGAAGGGGGAGTCATGTCTGGACTGGAGGTGATGGAGTATCCAGACATCGAGGGTGCCTGGTTCTCATCCTGCAGGGCAGAGGCCTGGGCTGGTGCACAGAACTGCACCTGGGACTGAAGCTGAGGCTGAGGCTTGCTGTGGTTGTGGCTTATGTTACAGTTCATGGCTGGGCTGGCATCATTGCAAATCCAACTAAAGATCTGGGCATTCCTTGGGCTGTTCTCAAGGACATGGGAGGCAGAAGGGGTGTCATGGCTGCTGGGTGTCCTGACTACGAGCTTTTCCTGTGGGGGAGTTCGTAAACGCCGACCAGCCTGGGCGTGGGACTGGCCTTTGAATGAGGGTTCTTCAAGTGTAAAGTGAGCACCATTTTGGGCCCTGGGACAATGGCATTCGGTCCCCGGATCACCCCGGGGCTCGTCTGTGCAAACGGGTGCATGTGTGGCAGCGGTGCGAACGCTGCCTCTGTGAGTTTCATGATGGCTGGGTATGTGGCCGTTGGCGACAGTGTGTGAGGCCTGTGGGATGTGTGGGATGTGTGTGGTGTGCGAGTATGTGCGGACCGTGTGTGTGACTGTTGTCGTGTGCGTGTGGTGCAGATGGCTGCCGCTTCTGCTGTGCCTCGGGGACAGAGAGGGGACGGACAGTCTCTCCTGGATGAGTCTAGTTATGTCTTGTACTGCCTGGGCGATCAGGGAGCCGTCTCTCTCCCTGTCCTTTTCCTTCTCTTTCTCTTTCTCATCCTCTGCGTCTCTTGTCTCGGTCATTTTCAGCTTCCTGCACGCTGCAGGTTTAGGGGAGGAGCACTCCCATTTGTTGAAAGAAGTGTCAGTCACGGGCGTGTTGAAGTGGCCGGGCCACACGCGTCCCACAGACTCATAGGGCGGTACCTCGGGCTCTTTGGTCTTACTGGCAGTTATGTCGTCATGGTTGTTGCCCCACGTGGCTTTGGGAGGGTTGTCAGAAGCAAAAAGGCCAGGGGGAAGTGGCGGTGCTGTAGGGTCGCAGAAGTTGAGCCTCTGTGCGATGCGGGCAATTACTTCCTGTCTCTCCTGCAGCAGGGAGCCAATCAGTGGGTTTGTTTCGTTTGCAGGCCTTGGGGAGGGGCAACGCGGCGGCTCAGCCAAGGAGAAATTCTTAAAAGCTCTCAGTGGCTCAGGGATGGACCCCTTTGACCTATCACTGCTGTTGGTGCCAGACCCATAATCCTCCACTTGTGTGGGGTCAGATGAACCATTGAGAGCCGAGTACAGCCACTTCCCTGCCTTGCTTATGGGAAGTGGAGAGGGCGAGTGGGAGCGGGAGGGCGTGGGGGAGCGGGAGGACCTGTGGAACCGTGGAGAGCCCTGACGTTGGGGGATGTTGACCTGCGGAAGCTCTCCATTCTGATATGTGTGGTCCTCACCTGGCTCCTGGCTCTTCTTGCTGTAAGGAGAGGGAACAGCCGTGTGGGGAAGGCTATTAATGGGGATGTTGTTGATGGGGAGATGAGGAATGGGTAATCCATTGAGGAGAAGGCCAGACATGGGGTTGGAGCTCTTGCTGTACATGTTAGAGTTGTAAAGGAGGTCGTCTTTTCTGGGGTCCTGGCTCTTTTTGTGGGTGGGCAGGCCACCATGGCTGTTGAGGTTTGGGTTGAGGCTGGCGGTCTTGCTGTAAAGCGGAGGCAGGCCGGTATGGATGCTGCAGGCCAGGGTGGGATAGGTGGGTTGGCGTGGGAGTGACTGGACACGGAGCTGCAGGGCAACACTCTGGGACACATCTGGAACCGGGAAAATGTGTTCTGAAGGTGGCTGGGAGAACTGCCACACCAACTCCTCATCAGCAGCACTGATCCTGTTTGACAGAGACAGCGAGAGAGATTCACACGCCATCGTTAACTTTTACATCTTAAAATATCCAGTAAGTGTCAGAGCCTCCAGAGATTACTTCTTCTGATTCAATTTTTCAAAGCAAAAAGTTGAGAAGAAGACTACTTTAGATCAAGTTTCCTGTGGCTTTAACAATCTGGTGCAACAAACCACCAATGTCCAAAGTAATCATTGAGTGCCATGTCTGACCTGTAGAGGATGTTTCTTGGGACGATACCATGGGAGGCGCTGAGCCAGGCGCTGAGCTGAGAGAAGAAGACATAAGAGCGAACAGCCAACAGCAGCGTCTTCTCCTCAATGAAGCGATCACCGCTTCTATTAGAAACACAGTGAAAAAGAGGAGGAAACGTGCCAGTATGTCAGGTTAATGAGAAAAGGATGTGTTGTTTTTCCCCGTTTCTACACTTCAGTAGGAAAGTGGGCCAATTTGTAAGGCTAATTAACCATCCGAGTGCCAATTTTAATATTTTCATTTCTTTTTTAGCCGTCACCTTTAAGCTATTCTGTACATTACTGAAACAATAAAACCTGCACGGAATGTTTTTATTAAACACAAAATAAGTAGGGATTTCACAGCTCTTGTGGCAGTTTATACAAAGTTTTGGGGGCTAAATAGCGTTTTCTTTGGATACAGCCGTCCAACTATAAACCTTCTAACTGAAACATACCATGTTTGTCTTGTAAACAGGACACTTTAAACTAAATGCTGGAAAGCATATCCTCCTTTCTATCAATATAACCGGACAACATCTCTCTTCCAGCATTACCCATATTTCAATAGTAAGATCATGCGTGTATATGAGCCTCACTGTCTTGGGACTGGCTGCAGGGTCCATCGCTCCAGCAGCAGAGCGTCTTGTTTGATGATCGGGTCGCTGATGGGGTCGCTCGGGGGGCACTCGTCACCATAGCAACAGTCTGGCAGTAGCATGACCTCGATCATGATGGGGATGCTGTTCCTCCAAAGCAGGATCACCTCCGAACGGGTTCGCCTCGCCTGCCGACACTGGACACACACACAGGTGGAAGGTTAGTGTTCGTTACTGAATGTCAACGCCCGGGCCTTGAGCTTCAGGGGCAAAGCAGATGGGACCCACAAAGAGACTCACTTAGAGATGAATGTCTCAGAGATATTATTTTGGTCACATCTCAGTTAAAAGCCATGTTATAAATGCTAGTGTTTATAAAGTGTATAATGTCTAGTTTTTGTACAGTTTGAAAGAGGTGTGTGTGGTGTCTTGGGTGCCGAGTTCAGAGTTATCAGTTATCACTAATATCTCAAAAACATCAAACAATATGTCAGATGTGAATCCCGTTGCATAAGAGGGCCTAAAATAAAAGGCTCATGACTTGAATGACGCAAATGAAGCAGCAGCAACAACAACCTCTAGTGAAAGGAGAAGAGAGTGCCTTCTGTTCACACTTTAGGTGTGTGTGTGTGTGTGTGTGTGTGTGTGTGTTACCTGGGGCAGTTTGTCGCTGCATTCGTGCTTGTGAAGAGGCGGCATGGCCGACTGGGCTGGCGGACAGTGCAGCCCCTCGGTTCTGCCCTTCACAGAATATTCTGGCGTCCGTCCCTCTGTGATGAGCAAGGTGAGAAACACCAGGAACTCCTCGGCATCATACTCGAAAAACTCCTCCGTGGCATCTAGGAGAGGCAGAGAAACGAGGAGGGTCAGTGGAGCTTTTCAAATCACTTCACATCCAAACAGAAAAACAAGGAACCAATCGGAGGAAAGCAGCAGGTAAACTACTAATCTGTCAATGCTCCGACAGATGCTGGGGGGGGGGGGGGGCAATACAGATGCAAACAGAAAGCCGCCTGCATTGACATGTATTTGCTCCCATTTACATCTGTATAGGTTTCACCGCAGTAGATAAGGATATTTAACTTTGTTTGGAAAGACTTGTTTGGAGAAGGAGGGGGGGGGGTGGATGATGACATAACTTTTCCAGTTTGACCGCTTCAGAGGAATATATTTAGGCCTCCCATGTCAGCTGAGCAGAGGGGTGAAGCCACACACAAGTATAGACAATGCTCACACTGATGTCGTTCGCAGTCATTGTGAAGAACACTTACAAACAAAAAAACAGAACATGTGGACAGAGAACAACAGAAATAGTAGCGTCATGCTGCACCACCCGGTGCGACACCAATTTTGCCAGGGTGGGGTTGGGCGGGGCTAGCATGGTGACCGGGACCTGGCAGAACAGAGAGCTGAGTCAACCTTCCACTATTCAGGAACAGACTATTCGCAAATTACGTGGAAGCTGAAAGGAGACTAACAAGGAATACTCGTCTGGTTGTCTCGTTCAGATTATGGCTCATTCTGCGCCACCCTGCTGTGCCCTACTAATCACAATAACCAAGTTTAGAGCAGTTTGAGCAGGGTCGAGATGGGGGTATTATTAGGTCACCAGTCAAATGCTACTAGCTGTGGCTCCTCAGTTTGTCTCCTGAAAACCAAACTAACAAAATCCCGGTCTGTTTGTGTTGTAATTGAAGCTAAGATCTAAAGTAGGGTATTTTTAGCCCAATATTGAGGCACCTGTCTTAGCGCTCGTATCTCCTGCGCTCCTCCAGAGGAAACTCCCAGAATCCCGCAGGGGGTCAGCTGACACACAACAGCTCTGAGAATCACAGCTTTCTTTCTTTACAGCACACAAGAAGAGACACTCATGTAAAGAAGCCGCCTGCCTACAATCTCGAGCCCTCCCTCTGCCTTCATTTTCATCAGAGTCAAACACATTTTAGGACACGATGATGTGGATACTTTTTTCATATTTTAATCATTTTGAGGATGTCAAGTCCTCATAAGGCTAGAAGTACAAAATACACACACACACACACACACACACACACACACGCACCCTGTCGTCCTCACACCAGAGCCAGGCTGGCCAGAACAGAGTCCCTCTCAGCTGGCTCTGCAGAAGTGTGATCTACGAGCTGAGCTGCTGCTGAATGTGTATGTGTGCGTGTACATATCACAGTGATCCAGCCAGTCACGCACATTCCTTCTCAGGGAACTCCTCCTACATGCCTTTGAGCTGCTGCTGCACGTGGAGAGAGGCGCAGTCCAACACAAAACATGAGGAGGGAGGAGAGGAGAGGGGAGGTAAGGAGAGGGAGAAGGGGGGTCTGTTAGCCAGCTGTAGGCTTAATAAGCGCAGGGTGAAAGGGATGAAGGCGACATTCAGGGACAATCTCCTTCTCTTCATGGGCTGGAATCGGAAAGGCTTGAACAAAGGGGGCAAGGGACCAACGGTGAGAGAGGAAAAGGGAGCGAGAGGAATAGAATGTACGACAAAGGTCAAGTGTCAGGGTCACAGAGCCCATCACCTTCACATGATGGGTGGCTTGAATGTACGAGATATACAGCAGTGGGCAGTGTAAAGTGTTCCCAGTTCACACTGGGAAAGGCTGTGGTTCCTGGTCGTATTTAGGGACATTGTGCTCAAGGTGACGCTCCAAGAAGGAGGCCAGAAGCAAAATAGAAAGGAAGCACGGGTGGATGAAGGAAGAGAAGTAAAAGAGTGATTAAGGGAAGCAGCGGAAAACAGCCTTTGTCAAGCTGTGCGCTACAAGCAGGGCCCTGATGATGTGTGCATTGTGGCTTTCAAATTGCTGCTTTCTAGGAAAGGCCAACCCAGGAAAACATACATACACACTGCAAGAACACACAACAAAAAACACACGAAGACACAGTGAAAAAACAAACACACCATCACCAAACATGTGAACCAACCCACTGAAAACATACAGACACACACACAGCAACACGCACACATGCAGTGCAGGACAAAGGACTAGTGGTGGAGGCTTTGGATAAGGGGCCCAGCTCATAGATGAGAGCTGTCATTCTTTAGGGCGTCGTGACTGAATAGAACATTCCTATGAAGACTATACACACACACACACACACACACACACAAAATCGAAGCTGGGAGGTGATCAGGATGCAGGACAACACATAAAAGGCAGAGAAGCAAGAAACCTTCCATAGACATGGAAAGACAGAGCCGTGTTCAACATTCAGAAGCACATTTACAGAACTGAGACCCAGTTTCATCGTTTTACAACACCTTGAAATAATCAAATCTGATTGTAATATTCAAGAAAGAAAAAACCCAGATGTTTCTTCAGCTTGACGCAGAGCTCTTTAGAGTCAAATCAAATGGTACAAATATTTAATATGATTTAGGAATTTATGTAACAATCCGGGTTGTTTGCCAATCATTAAGCCTCACAAGCGGGGCTCAATGTTCAATCTTTTCTCCTCCTCTCAATCTCTTTAAAATGTGAAATCTGTCCGTCATCAATCTATATTTGTACAGTTTGAATGCGTGTTCGTCAGATGCATTTTCTCTCGTTCTCCAACTTGTTTTTGAGCCTTCTCTGTCTGCACTGTGTGTACATCATTTTTTTCCCCAATCCTGTGTGTAAAGTCCACTGGTCTCCATGCATGCAGTTTGAGAAGTACCATAGCAACTACTAGCACTGCTTGAGAAATGCAAACAGAAAAAAACCAAGAACATCTCCATGAGGAAAACATGAATCAGGTTTAGGTCCACTGCTTAAATAAGAACCTCTGCTGATGCATCCTGCACAATACTGACCCATCATGTTACACTGGTCCGACTCTTTTCCATGTGCGTGTGACCTCTCTTCCATCTCCCGATAATGCGTGATCTAAATTATGTAATGGCTCGGATTTAGATTCAGGCATCTTATTATTAGACCGGTGACCGCCTGCCACCAAGTGCAGCTGGAGTCCTGCCTACAGATCGCCTGGTTGGACATGTATACCCACCCACCCACCCACCCACCCACCCACACCCACACACACACACACACACACACACACACACACACACACACCTCTCAGCTTTTGCCGTGTCCTCGGGCCAAGAGATTAGTATAGAGTCATGTGGAATGGAAAAAGGCCGACCGGACAAGAGTGTTCAGAGTAAACACGCCTGCAGTGCACACTGAGGAGTGATTCATCATTACCTGAGACCTGTCAGAGAGGCAAATGAGTCAAACATGTCAGCGCCTGGTCCAAATGGTTATGGCAGCGAGTGAGATTCTGAAGCTTGTCGTTTGAATACATGCTGCTGGATTCAGTTTTAAACAGAGAGACAGATGGGAAGACGGACAGAAGGAGAGAGAGAGAGACACTAAGTGGGAGACGTTCATATAAGCCGACCCATTAATCTGTGCACTGCGGGCACACAATCACTGCATGGTTGGCCCTCTTTCTACTGCAAACGCTGGTCTGCTGCTCTGCAGACACACACACACACACACACACACACACACACAGCTAATTTGAATGCTGTGCAAGAAGCCATATGGCAAAAACCACTCCCGTCCGTCCTCTGTTGAGCCGGTGCGGCTCACTATGTCGGTCATTTGTTTGCGACATCGTTTCATTCAAATGAAGCAGAGAGCACAGCGAGAGTCTAGCTGGTCTTTCCTCATTAGTGATCCGTCTGTGTTGGGGGGGCGAGAGACAAAAGCCAGCGGCAGATGAGGAAAAATTTAAAAAAAACGAGTCACAGATCAAGGCCTTAGCTGGAACAAAACACTGATGAGCGCACCTGTGGCTAGACTACTGGTTATCAAAGACCACACACACACACACACAACGAGATATTATACTGCAGCAACCGGGGAGAGACGAGACATACTCCAGAGGGAGAGAGAAAAGACAGAGGAGCAGTCTAAAGGGCAGATAGGCAACACGCACTGTTAGTTGAACAGGCAGACAGGAAGTCAAATTAACGAGGTTTCCAGTTAACCGTTTGTTAGGTGAATTTCATGCAAACAGTTTGAAACCTGGCAGAAAATAAGTGAATTGGGCGGCATTTACATCATGCGAGTTGACCTAATCTTTCTTTTGTGAGATTGTGAGCTTAAAATGACAAGTTGTTACGGTTCTTTTGTGACAGCTCGTAAAGATGAAAACATAAAAGTCTATTTGTTGTGGTAGTGGTGGACAAATGTATTACAGTCTAAAGCGACCTTTAAACTTTAAACTAACTCGGAACTGAACAAAAAAAACCTGCACAAGAATCAGACAAACAAGGCAGACAGGAAAACACAGAGACAGGCTGAAAGACAGAAGGACGAGTAAGCTGAGTTTATAGGGACAAATCACTAACAATAGGGCGTTCAAATTCCACTTAACTTTGTATAAAATATCCAAGCGTAATATTCAAATCAATTTAAATCAATACTTTAAAGAATGGCTAGAGTGGTACACTTGTCACTGATTTGTCCCAGTTCACTGGCTGTGAAAGTAAACAAATAACTGTCCACACTAAAGGCCCTCATGGCTCCAATGAGTCCATTTTCTCAGAAAGATAAATAATAAAACTAAGAGAACAAAGGTCGGTAGAAGTGGACCAATTCCTTCATGAAAAACAACACAGCATGCACACCAGAGGGGTTTGAAGATGTTAGACTTGCTGTGTTTAAAATCATCTGAGGTCCTTACTTGATATGATTTAAGACATTTACAATTCTGTTTCTGGGACCTGCAGACTGTAGATAAGCAGCCTGCCCGGAGGCTGTGTGCTCGAGGCATTTCCAGGCAGCTTCCACACTGCAGAGGCAGCAGTGTGCCGAGCTCGCTGAGGTGT